TCTTCAGAGTTACGTTTTTGATATTTTTACGTACGTACGCACGCTCCCGACTTATGCAAAATATTACAATTATTGCCCATAATTGCTATATCTCAAAAATGTACTAGCTAACACATCTCTGGAATATTAAATAAAAATATTCAGAACCTTCAAAAACCTTATGCCAACTAAAATTTGAACCTTTATATCTAACCTCTATTTTACTCTAAAGTTGCATCCTAACTCTAAATTTTAGCCAAAAACATATTAACACCAACAACACCTATGGTATATTTTATAATTATTGTAAATCAAAATATTTTATACTATAGCTACAAGTATATTATATGTTTTTAAAAATTATTATAACTAATAAAAAATTTATAAAAAAATTTTTTCAAATTTAATTTTTTGAAATATTTAGTATATAAATTTATGCACTAAACCAAATATATAGTTTAAAGGATAATATGTATAATAAAATTTGTTATACAATATATTTTGATTAGTTAATTTATAAAAAATTATTTTTATTATAATACTAAAATTTTAAAAACAAATTTAAATTGTATCTTTTAGTAAAACAAAATTTTTTAAATTTTGTCTTAATATAAAAAAATTATATCTTAATAATGAACAAAAAAAATAACTATATAGTTTAATAAATCTTATTAAAAGCTATTAAATAATTTTTTTTGCAACTTTTTATTAAAAAAATATAATTTAAAAAAATAAATTTAATATTTTTAAACTGCGCATACTATAGCGATTGTGATATTAAATATCATTATACTGTATAAATAATTTTTATAAAAGTATAAAACTCAATAAAACATTTAGTGTATTATTTATATTTTGGCGCTAAATAATCTTAAATATGTAACTAAAAATTTAATTTGAACCTGACACGTACGTACACACGTACGTACGTACGTACGTATAATTATTATAATTACTACGTATAATTACAATAATTACTATTAATGGTATATAGTAAAATTTATTGACTAACAGATTAATTAAGGTTTTAAAGTTAAAATTAAGAAACCCCGTTTCGTTTTCTGGCTTGTAATTCACATATGAGCCAAAATGCTATTTGAAAATCATGCATATTTTATAAAATATACCATTTTGTTAAAATTTTGAAATTAAAAAGTTTTTGCTTATTATTTAAAAAGAATTACCATTATTAGTTTTGATGCAATAAAGGTTTGAAAGATAAGTCTGAAAGTTTGCGTAATGATGCGATTCGTATTGATATGCAGTGTCAAAATTTAATGCATGAAAGCATGCACTAAAAACACAAGCACATACGTACACGTACGTACGTACGTACGTACAGATAATAAATTCAAAATTGATTTTCTTTATAGTCCTGACGCAAAGTTACGCTAAGTTACAAGAATCACGTTGAGTGTTTAAAAATGAATACGTACGTACAAGATCACGTTACATGAATTTCTCATGTAACTAACAACAAATAAAATAATGCATTGCATTGTTGTCAATCACTCATTTCTTTCCAAAAAGTCTCAAGGTTACATTTGCCAGTAATCAAATAATGAATGATGATAAATTTGATGAATTTAACGATTCTAGTGAATATAATGTAAAAATTATAGCCGGTACAGAACCAAATGTTAAAGAATTTAAAGCGCATTCGATTATATTACAAGCACGTTCTGAATATTTTCAGGCAGCATTATCTATACGATGGGCACGCGAACAAGATGGTTTTTTTATAATCAAAAAGCCTAATATTTTTCCTAAAATTTTCGAAATTATACTCAAGTAAGGTTATTAAGATTAAATAAGTTTTTAAAGTCTTAATAATAAAAATAAAAGAAAAGATATTAAACCTTATATAAATTATTATATTTAGTTATATTTACAGTGGTATAGATTCCATGGATAACTGTGACAAATGTGATGGAGAAGACTCACTTGATATCCTAAAAGCAGCAGATGAACTTGGGCTATATAGTTTAATCCAAAGTATGCAATACAATCTTATCAATCATCATTCATCATGGATATATAAAAATATAGTCAAATCTTTAAATACTGTTTGTCGCTACGTACACTTTCACGAATTGCATGACTATGTCTTTGACGTGGTATGCAGAAACCCATATATTCTCTTCAATTCAATTTATTATACACATTTAGAAGAAACAGCGTTAGGGCAATTGCTGAAACGAGATGACCTTGAAATAGAAGAAGTTAAAATTTGGAATTATTTAATAGAATGGGGTATGGCCAATTCGAATCCACCACTGAACCGAGATGTTTCAAAATGGACAGAACAGGAATTTGAAATATTAAAGGCTACAATTTCACAATATATACCATATATAAGGTTTGGTCTAATGCTACCATGTGATTATGAAACCAAGGTTAGAAATCCCTTTATTTACATTCTTCCTGAAGGGTTTGATGAACGAATTATGGAGTACTTTTATGGATCTAGTAACTTATGAAGTCCCTGTATTCTATAGATTAGAGAGGAGACTTCGTATTTTGATAGATCAAAGAAATGAAGCACTTTTGTATTATAGGATCGCTTTTCACGATAGTTGAAAAAACAATTTCATGATCGAAGCCTGTAGAGAAAACTCTATTGTAAAGACTTTGATAATAATTGAATAAACTTTTATCATTCTTTGTAGTATGAGGTCATCGTGAAAGTTTCTATCAGAGAATTTGTAGAATAGAAATCTATTAAATTTATTAATCGCATGAATTTTAATAATCTTACACAGCAAATTTATCGTTTATATATACGCAGGGTTGCTAAATTTGTTATTTTAGTAATTAGATGATTATAAAAAAATTGATAAATTTATATAAGAATAGAGATATAACACATCATAGGCAATAATTGTAATATTTTGCATAAGTCGGGAGCGTGCGTACGTACGTAAAAATATCAAAAACGTAACTCTGAAGA